CGAGGCTCTGGGGCAGTCACAGTTCAGAGTTACCCTGAACTTTAAAGTACAGCAGTATCTGTATAGTCGCTGTTTGACACGAGCAAGATCGGGCTCAATTCCCTTGTAGCGTGTAACTAGACCCGCGCCAATAGAAAATAACATTAACACGCACCAATAGGGTGCGAGCATAATTAGCAAATTAGGTACCTGAAGCGTGTACCGATAGGGCACTCTCCACGGTCCGCGCACAGGAAAAGGGCGTATAAAAGGACGCCCGAAAAAGGACAAAATAGGTAGTCCAGGACAGCACACCAAAAGGAAACCCTGTACGCGAGTCAACTAGACATTTACCAGCGAGCTCTGTATCGACAAAATAAATCTTGTTCAACACATATTTCACGCTTACGATTGGTGTGTGGTTTGAGGAGCAACGAACCCACAATATAAAATTTATAGCAAGCATAGGTGGTAGGAGAGAAATGTAAACGGTTTCTCTAATTGTCCTAGTGAAATTGGAAGTGCGTGAAAACGACGCGTCCCGTATAAACCTAGCGTTAAATACCAATCGAACCGCTCAACAATATCCTCTTTGCTCGATTATGCATCGATATTACTCTAATTCGAAGACACCGGAGCGTTCTAAGAGCTCGATCGACGCGACGGAGTTAAAAGTGGAAAGAAACGGAGAGGAGATCGTGGTAATCGCGAAGGCCTCTTCACAAAGAGCGCCGCGATGCAGCGATTTTCCAGTCGGCCGGTTCCTCCTTTGTATTGACTTTCTCCGATCGGGACGCGACGGGATGAAACCGTAGGAGAGCGTTCGATTCCGCTCGACTCCGCGCCGGCCATTATTACAGGCTTTTGGGTCCAATAACTCTTCGACTCTCACTTGTTGCTGCGGCGGCGTCGCGATGCCTCTTCTCTTTTTTCCCGTTCTCTCCCTTTTGCTGCTCTGCTTTTCGCGATTTTTCATCGTCGAACGAGCTGCAAGAGAGACGCCTCGCTAGAGTGAGAATCGATTCGCGTGGAACCGGAAGCTCGGACGGGACCTAGCAACAAGGGTCCCTCTAATTTCGTCGTCTCTTGCCGCGCGGAAATGGAAGTTTACGAGTTCGTTCGTTTCGGTGAGCATACACGAAAGACTCTCTTTCACACTACAAATTGTTAAATTGCTCACGCCTAGACACACGGCACTCTGCTCGCTTAACGCGCTTCCAGGGCCCGCACATTTTTGAACGCTCCAAAAAAACTTTGTACAATGCATATATAGACTTTTTTATTTTTCATTTATAAAGTATTCTTAAATTTTACTACATATTTCTTATACATCTATTTAGTATATAGGCTTTTCTACGTTTTAACTAGTAACATATTTAGTAATCGATTGATTACTATTTATGTTACAAACTTGAATAATGCTTCAGAGTATATCTGGTGAAGCATTCTCCTTTGTGCAATGGTATTTGGCATAATTTGCAACTAAATCTGAACGAACAGACTTTACTTTTTCTTTTTCTTTTATTTCGCTAATCATTTGTCGTAAGAATATGCAACGCTCCGTTGCCTTGGTAACGTAACAAAAAATTCTGTTTTTAACCGTTTGAGTACCAGAGGTTTTTAACAAAACACGGTCGAAAAAAGCCGAAAAGCGCAATAGCGCTTTCTGAATGGGATGCGAAAAGATCGAAGCGGCGCGATAGCGCTCCTTTTATAATAGGTAACAACGAAATACAAAATGTTTGTAGCGTGTAACTAGACCCGCGCCAATAGAAAATAACATTAACACGCACCAATAGGGTGCGAGCATAATTAGCAAATTAGGTACCTGAAGCGTGTACCGATAGGGCACTCTCCACGGTCCGCGCACAGGAAAAGGGCGTATAAAAGGACGCCCGAAAAAGGACAAAATAGGTAGTCCGGGACAGCACACCAAAAGGAAACCCTGTACGCGAGTCAACTAGACATTTACCAGCGAGCTCTGTATCGACAAAATAAATCTTGTTCAACACATATTTCACGCTTACGATTGGTGTGTGGTTTGAGGAGCAACGAACCCACAATATAAAATTTATAGCAAGCATAGGTGGTAGGAGAGAAATGTAAACGGTTTCTCTAATTGTCCTAGTGAAATTGGAAGTGCGTGAAAACGACGCGTCCCGTATAAACCTAGCGTTAAATACCAATCGAACCGCTCAACAATATCCTCTTTGCTCGATTATGCATCGATATTACTCTAATTCGAAGACACCGGAGCGTTCTAAGAGCTCGATCGACGCGACGGAGTTAAAAGTGGAAAGAAACGGAGAGGAGATCGTGGTAATCGCGAAGGCCTCTTCACAAAGAGCGCCGCGATGCAGCGATTTTCCAGTCGGCCGGTTCCTCCTTTGTATTGACTTTCTCCGATCGGGACGCGACGGGATGAAACCGTAGGAGAGCGTTCGATTCCGCTCGACTCCGCGCCGGCCATTATTACAGGCTTTTGGGTCCAATAACTCTTCGACTCTCACTTGTTGCTGCGGCGGCGTCGCGATGCCTCTTCTCTTTTTTCCCGTTCTCTCCCTTTTGCTGCTCTGCTTTTCGCGATTTTTCATCGTCGAACGAGCTGCAAGAGAGACGCCTCGCTAGAGTGAGAATCGATTCGCGTGGAACCGGAAGCTCGGACGGGACCTAGCAACAAGGGTCCCTCTAATTTCGTCGTCTCTTGCCGCGCGGAAATGGAAGTTTACGAGTTCGTTCGTTTCGCCAAGTTGCACAACCATCGCGACTGTAATAACAACGTTGTAATCTTACGATCTTCTTCTTTTTCTTCTTGTACCTGCTGCTTCCTCTTCCGGTTTTGCCGAGGAGGAATGTGACGGTTTTCTTGGTAGCTGATGCACGTTACTGTTTAGTGTTTGCTTGGTTTATTTGTTCACAGTGTTCTTTGTTTTCAGAAGCAGTTTCGAGTTGATTTGTCAATACTTTGTTCTTAATTGTGTTTTTATGCTTGCGTTAAGTATGAAATATATTATATTGATTTTTGCAAAAAGGTAATGAAGAAACTTATTTTTACTCAATTTTAAATGCAAAAAAGTGTTTCGTTTATGTACCGACGTTGTTTTGTTTGATTTTAAATATTCATAAAAGTTGGCTCTACTGGAGCACAGTGAATTATTAAATTCAGAGTTCAGGGACTTTTGTTGGATACTGTATTTTAATTGAACCTCGATTAAGGATTGCAAGATACAAGTGAAGTATTTGTATGTAAATTGCAATTCGTTTAGAACATAGAAAACATAGAGTATTTGAATTAATAACCAGTGAGAATAGGGCGGTAGTATTCCCAGCATGCTCTGTAATTCACGTTTGACTTAACCTAACGTAGTTGTCACAAGTTTGACCAGAATGTCCGTGCAAATAAATTAATTGCATTCCAAGCACGTGACGCAGCTACATTCCATTAAACTCCAGATTTAATCTTCCCAAATCCCCTCCATTCAACTCGCCAAACACCAAGTCTTGAACCGTTCAATTCACTCATCTGCAAAAATTCCTGTGGTACAACGTCGAACCCGTATATTTTCTCCGACCGACAGACAGTCCCCGTCACTCCAACCGTCTCCTCTGAAGCAAAAACAGAAACAAAGCCTCGAATATTTCGCGGTGCACAATTTGGCAAAAATATCGCGATGTAAACGCGGCCACGTGATTTCCCCCTTGAAATATTTAACGAAGGGCGGTTCGCCGAGGAATTAATTTTTCAAAAGAGTCGGTTCAAGCGGTTGTTTCATCTCCGTGAAAATTCTATGGAAATTTCACGATCCCCCGGTTTTCTCGATATCGCGATATCGTCGGTGCAAATCGGATTTCGTCAAATTCCACTAGAATTTTTACGAGTGTACGGTGTTTTTCATTGCATGAACGATGAACGAAACAGAGGAGTGTTTCACCGAGTGAACAGTGAACGAAACAGAAGAGTGTTTCACCGAGTGAACAGTGAACGACACAGAGGAGTGTTTCACCGAGTGAACAGTGAACGACACAGAGGAGTGTTTCACCGCGTGAACAGTGAACGACACAGAGGAGTGTTTCACCGCATGAACGATGAACGAAACAGAGGAGTGTTTCACCGCATGAACGATGAACGAAACAGAGAAGTGTTCCACGGTGAACCATGAACAGAAGGGAAGAACCACACGGAAGGGAAAAGACACTGCTAAGCGGAGGTATACACAGTGGATGATGAAGCGAATCAAGTAACAGCGGTGGTAACTTACGTGCGATGCAGCCCTAAAGCAGTCGACTCCATGGAGGCGAGTTTCCTGGAAACGCGTTAGCAACGAAACGTCTGTGCTTCGAATTTTCAAGCACGCTGAATTACAACCCTGTCACGGAATCAATGGCAACTGAAATACGTAAGCTTACGACGACGCGTTTCCTGCAACTTTGCTCCTCCCTTGCGGGGATTTTATAGAAGGAACAGATCCCGAAATTTCCTATAAAAATGCTAATATTCCACGCTCGTGGATTGAAACTTATTTGCGCAATAGGATATTTCCGATTTCGTTCGATTCATAATTGAATCGATAAGGAGAAACCTTCTTGCGCTTCCAATGACTGAGAATGTTCAACGGAACAGTGTCGTTTCATTCTAAAAGGATAATCCCAAAGAAACACCATAATATTCCCCCAATATTATAAGTAAACTTTCTTCTTCTTCAACGACTGCAGAAAAATTTACTCCACCCTCAATATCAAACAACACTCCTACTACAATCTTCCAAGTGACCGAATAAAAGAAGGAACGAATGAAACAAGACAAAACCCTCTTACATCATAACTGTCAATTTATTAACTAAACAACAAAAGCTTATCGTCGCGATCGAACAAATATCGATGTCTCGTTACGTACACATATGCATAAAAAGAAATCCTCGTCGCGAGAAATATCATAATCGCGTACAAATGCCTCTGTCAACCAATTGATACGATGATCGACGTTCAAATAAAAACACCGTGTATACAAACACGTTTACTCCATAATACTTCTTCGCGAATCACAGTCATCGTATCAACGTTCACAACGATATCTCTAGTCGTATGCACCTTACTCCTAGTTCGCTACCTTGGATAGCTAAGTTAGAACCATCTCCACCATGCAGCAGGTACCGTTTCCAGCACCTCCGTAGTTGGCCAGTCGGGTGTGTCGGTTGTAGGCAGAGTTGTCCAGTCGGGTGTGTCGGTTGTAGGCAGAGTTGTCCAGTCGGGTGTGTCGGTTGTAGGCAGAGTTGTCCAGTCGGGTGTGTCGGTTGTAGGCAGAGTTGTCCAGTCGGGTGTGTCGGTTGTAGGCAGAGTTGTCCAGTCGGGTGTGTCGGTTGTAGGCAGAGTTGTCCAGTCGGGTGTGTTGGTTGTAGGCAGGGTTGTCCAGTCGGGTGTGTTGGTTATAGACTCAGTTGTCCAGCTTGTCGTGCCGGTAGGTGGTACGGTGGGTTTTGGCGTGCTTGTAGTTGTCGAAGACGGTCCTTCAGTGACTGTAGGATTTGACGTTGTAGTCGATGGGTGTCGTTGGGGTGCAGCAAAGACGACAACCCTCAACGCGATAGCCCAGCTTGGTCTTCCCCATGCACCTACAGCGATCGACGGTGTTCCAACGAATCCTTTCAGAGGCTTGACGACCACCACCTTCGGGTTCAGCGCTGTTACGCTGACGAACGAGATCACGTAACCGGGTGGAGCGTCTACGCTCACTGTGACGGTTTGCCCAACGCCGATAACTCTTGGCTGGAAAAACGTTCGTTGCGAAAATGGTGAAAGGTGGATAATTGGATCTGTTGGAAAGTCCGACGTTTAGCCTGCTTTTTAACAGTCTTTCGTTTTCTCCAATGGTCCGACAGAGTGGAAGTAGCGTACTACTGTCGCGACAGAAAATTTGTCTTTTTTCGAAATGAGATTTTGAACGCTGGAGCAGTGCACAGGTGGTAGTTCGCAGAGTTCCAAACTGAGGGGTTCAGGCCTCGAGTATGTACTCCAAGGAAGATTTCAAAGGGAATAGATAAATTAGCAGAAAAACGAAGCGTGGTAATTAAGAATAACGGAGATTGAAGACGAATGTGTACATATTGCAATACAAGTGATACAGTAGCTGAATCTTCACGAATCGATCGCTGGCTGTGTCAGAACCGTTCCAAAGAAAATTCTACAACCGTTCAACTATCACCACGTAGATTTCTCACCTTGAAGATGGGTTTGTCCTCGATAAGAATGTCACCGAGTACACGGCGACCGAGGAACAGGTTGTTACCCCATGCGCAAGCGACGAGGCAGAGGCAGGCGAGCACGAAAATGAGACCACGCATCTTGGCGAATATTCAATGCAACTAGTCTAATTGGCGTCACGAATCTGACGAGCACCCGGCCACAATTATCATTTATACCCTCGCCTTATCAATTAGTCACAGACAATTCCCCGGATATTGATCGACTGTATCGAACTTGTAGATAACTATCATCGAATCGAGATAACAATTTACGTAACGACATTTGCTTCGTGCCTTTTTTCTTTCTCTCTATTCTCTGAATTACACGAAGGTGACACTATCGACACCTTCGCTATCGCATAGGTATTATGCAAATCGTTGTTTTTTGAGCATTAGCTTCAAACGGTCGATCAACTGTTGTATTCTTCAGCGCTGGCTAAACGTAAGTTGGAAACGAAATTAGATACGTGGAGGCCTCGGATGATAATTTGAAAAATTCAGACTATGAAAGTCGCAAAACACTCGCTACTTTTTAAATCTAGGCTTAACTATACCTATCTCTTAGATTCTATCACAGGCGAACGATTATATTGTATTTTAATTTAGAAAAAGAGGATTAATTTTTTTCCCGTACGGTTTTTCTCTTGTTAAATTAACGGTGAAATTCTTTTTTTCTTTCATTTCTGATATTAGCAGTCTCGAGTTTATCTTTGTCCATCGTTTAACCGCCTCAGCCGAAATTTCTGCGCTTGGAGTTGTCTGAAGGGTTGAGAAATGATTCGCAAGGCAGCGATTAGTTCCAGATAATTTTTAAATTATCGTGGGAATCGTGACCTGTGACCCTTATCTCGAAAGATCAGACTGATGCTTCGTCTTTCTGGTATTGTTCATTGTGAACTTGTCGGGGGTCTGATAAATCTCGATTAAAAATCACCTCTGGATCGCGATTTCGAACGCTGCGGACCTCTTTCTCTCGTATCGTGGTTTAAGAATATCGAAGAACGCGATAATGCGGTCGGAAACTAACTTTCGACATCACGTACCGCGTTTCACTCGGTGGAATATTTCACGAGAACGAAGAAACTGATGATCATGTTGATCGTTGCTCGTTGTGATAATTGACTATCAAATTTTTGCAGATTCTGCAAAATTTATTCTTCGAAAAAAGTGATTCACCAATTATTTATACGTCATATTTTCTTCGATACACTTTAGGTAGACGTTATGGTAACTGTGTCACTCGTATTTCAGCGACACAATTCTCAAGTGTACACAAGACAGCTTTTCTCTACCCTCAGCTCTTTGTTTGCTTCGAAATTTTTATGTTATCTGATCGATATCGAACATCGATTAAATCAAAATTCAAATTTTCCCCGCGAATATGCCCGAGAACGGGAGAAACATTTCCATTGACACATATTATTATACGCAATTACTCCACAATTGTGTATTCCCTGTCCCCGAAATTAGTCGGCCAGTTGCAGCGTTGAATGGAGAAAAATGGAAAAAAATGAAATAAAAGGGAATATTTGATGGGTGAAAATCTGGTTCCGCGAACGCTTCGTTAGCGGAGTGACAACGAGATTTTTCGGTTTGTTGGCCGCGAATGGAACAGAGTGAACCGGTGATTGATAATTCCTAAACGATACCTAACCAGCGACGAATTCGCGGTTGTCGAACGGCGGATCGATCGAATCGTGAAATACGCCGTTTCGTTAATTTCGTTCCAACGACGTCGCTCTTTAAGGATTCAGCCCCTAATCCTCCGTTTAGAATTTGTATTCACGAGACCCGCCGCGGCAAACAGCCGGCGATCGGTCGCGTTTCGCTGATCTTTTTACCGGTTATCCAATTTAAGGCTAGCTCCCCTAACTAAGCAGGATAATTCACGCGAAACGTGCGGTGGAAATTCTCGGGGTGATGATTGTACCAAATTCGAATTATCATCTGTGAAACTTTTGCGATATTCGTTTGAGGGTATATAGGTCGCTGTAGATTTCACAGTACCTCCTAAAGTGGCGCAAAACGCGCTAAGAAAATGGTAATCTCATCTAATACTAGTTCAAGGCGTACACAGTGGCTTTGGTGTAATTGATAAAGCGTTATCTCCACGAGAACGATAGGTTGTTTCGCGATAAATGATCGTTTGCAATCTGTATAGGATTTACCTGAAACTCGAAAAATGCTGCTGGAGCAACTTTCGCGTTTCCGACCGCGACACGCTGCGTAAATATTCTACTAAATATATCTATTTTATTTTAACCAACACTTGAACTAATTTTTACATGTAAGTGAAAGGACGCGTGCGGATTGCAAGTCTGTGACAAAAAACCTCGTGCCTTTTTCGGGGTTCCCTTAAATACCCCCTTTTGCCCTGGGAAAAGTCCCAGGAAATGGGAGCGTGGGCCCATATTGCCAAAACACTTCTCTTGCCCGAATCTTCGCCTCGAGGTCCAAGAGCTGCCATTCCTATTTAAATCGGTATTTACGCAGGCCTTCCGTGGCGGTCGCCACAAATTCTAACAAATAAATAAATAAAAATTAAACAATCAAATTCTGAACCTGTTCCAAGTGCCTTATCGCGTGAAAAGGGTTCTCCTTCAGTTTGCAAACCGCTCGTCAACGAGAACAGAGCAAGACTAATGGTCCGCGCGGCGTCCACCGAGTGTGAAAAAATTCTTCAGCCAAAAATTCTCGCGTACGAGGAAAAAGAGGGAGAGGGTTGGTATAGGAAGCGTCGAAAAAGCGAGAAAAATAGCGAAAACCAGTTGTTCCGTTCGCGTAAATCTTCGTACGCGGGGACATTAAGATCGGTGACGTTTTTGGGCAGGGTGGAAAGTACTGTAAACGCGCGGGACCGATGTTGCAGCTCGTGCACGCATCGCGCGTTATTACGCGCGGCGTACACACGGGGCTCAAAGCGGTCGCTTGCATAAATCTCCGGAGGAATTAAAGTGCACCGCCCGCTCGCTCGCTCGCTGTGCAGGACGGAATTGTGCAACCCGTATGAAAGAAAAATAATTTGTGTAGACCGGGAGTCGGCTGGTACACGTTATTTTCCACCCGTTTCTTCTTTCTCTGCTAATCGTTTTTCCTGCTTGCCGTCCCGCTCCACCGTGACAAACATCTGGCCGACCTGTGCGTCGAACGGAGGATAACGATACTTTGGATCTCGCGAGGACAAAATCAAGCGAGAAGATTTGGTTTTTCTCTCCATATTTTCTATCGACATTCTCACATTTCTTCTCCTCCTCGGTTTGCTTAATCGAAGCTTCATCATTTCACGAGGAATGAGAAGTAGCTACGTTAGATCGAAGAAGTTCGAATTAAAAAAGAGAGTATTTAGTTATCGATATTAAAATTTTATTTAACTTCCAGTGAAACAAGGAAACTCAGGTAAAATGTTTAATTTTGTCGATTTTTCACTTCAACGAAAACTGTGCTTTTTCGCGAGGAATGAGAAATGGCTATAGATATGTTTAAATTGAAGAAGTACGAATTTAAAAAGGGAGTATTTAATTATCGATATTAAAATTTTATTTAATTTCCAATGAAACAAGGAAACTCAGGTAAAATGTTTAATTTTGTCGATTTTTCACTTCAACGAAAACTGTGCTTTCTCGCGAGGAATGAGAAATGGCTATAGATATGTTTAAATTGAAGAAGTACGAATTTAAAAAGGGAGTATTTAATTATCGATATTAAAATTTTATTTAACTTCCAGTGAAACAAGGAAACTCAGGTAAAATGTTTAATTTTGTCGATTTTTCACTTCAACGAAAACTGTGCTTTTTCGCGAGGAATGAGAAATGGCTATAGATATGTTTAAATTGAAGAAGTACGAATTTAAAAAGGGAGTATTTAATTATCGATATTAAAATTTTATTTAATTTCCAATGAAACAAGGAAACTCAGGTAAAATGTTTAATTTTGTCGATTTTTCACTTCAACGAAAACTGTGCTTTTTCGCGAGGAATGAGAAATGGCTATAGATATGTTTAAATTGAAGAAGTACGAATTTAAAAAGGGAGTATTTAATTATC